GAAGTATGGTGTCCTGATAGGACACGAAATCTCAGGAGAGTTGGTCGGCCATTTTGGGTTGGTTTTAGATAAGGAAAGCCCATCCACGTTTTGGGAGAACATGTGTGGACGTAGATAGGGACAGAGACCCAGCCTGTGAGGGAAAAAAACCAAAAACATTTTTGCCATCGGAACGCATTGCTAGATTCCTATTGGCTATTGCAAATTGAAATAGGAATCTAGCAATGCATTCCTATAATTAATTTTTTTTTTTTTTTATTCTGAAGACAGCCAACGGCTTCATGTCAGAACAATAATAAAAAAAAGCAGTATTTCTCTCCCGGGCGCCCGGGAGAGTTGGGCTGTCTGATGATCAGTGTCCCTGATTAGCTGGTAACCAGGGGTGTTGCTCTTTCTGCAAGTGGCCGCAGCCAGCCATAAGATCACGGCTGGCTCCGCCCAGCTGTCAGAAGCAGGCTGTCGGCCGGCCATTGGCCGGCCGCTCGGCCAACTTCGGCTTTCACCTCGGCTCAGTCGAGCCAAAGCATATTCCTTCGGCTCGACTGAGCCGCTCAGCCGACTTCGGGAGCTGTACGGGCTATAGTGAACCGAAGGGGTCCTGGGGCCGAAGCTACGGCTAGATTCTTCGGCTGCTTCGTGAATAGACCACTAAGTTCTGGGTATTTTGGGCCCTTATAAACTGAACAATTCTGCTGACATTTTAAAACTTTTTTTTTAAATGGCTGTAAAGTGCTTTTGCCCAGGGCAATGTTTGGAGTTTCTCTGGCCATGAAGAGGTTAGGCACCCCCAAAAATATTGATAGTGGTTTTGGTCTACCCTGTGTTCACTTTAGAACAGTCTCACAATTCTGTCCCCTTTATGAGCACAACTTGCTACTGGCGATGAGTGAATTGTAAATGTTAATTTCCCTGGAATTTAGGGAGATTTTGGCAAAACTTCTCAATGTTGGCCAAAATGCACTAGATTCAATAAGGAATAACAAATTAAAGGTTTTTTAAGACGTGATAGGCTTATATAGCTCCAAGTGGTAGGAAATTTCCTTTTAACTATCCTGGGCCCACATTTGTGCCAAAAACAGACCCAAATTAGGCCCATTATTGTACAGTGGAAAAACATGTAAAATAAAAAATGTATAGTACACAAATAACAAATAAAAAAAGGAAAAAACACACAAAAACACTGAAAATTTAGATTATCAGGGTTATTCACAAAAAGCTGAAGAGTTTGGAGAAGGCAGGAGAAGTGAACAACGTAGGACAACATAGCTGACCTGGAAAGTGAGCTGAATTGGAGAATTTTTCCAAATCAGCAATGTTGTCCTAGATTGGTCACTTCTCCTGCCTTCTCCAAACTCTTCACCCTTTTGTGAATTGCCCTGTAGGTAAGCAACCCCAAAAAAAGAACACCCTCTTAATAAAGAAAAAACAGTTGACTGTTTTGTTTTTCTTTGCAGTTTTTAAAATTTTGGTAGTTTATCAGCCACATTTTTTTTCCAAATCATTCCACTAATCCCCATGTGTGACTCTGTTTTATTTGTAGTCATCATAAAGTAGGAATGCACCAATACCATTTTTTTTTCCAGACCGAGTAAAAGTACCGATGCTTTTCCTCAAGTATTCACAGATAGCAATTACTGATACCTTTTTGTCATTTGACAGGTTTTCTAAAACAATACAGACTACTGATTTTAGGACTGTAGTGGAGCAGCAGTGTGCGACCCTGGTAGTTCTGCCACTGACTCCAAGCTGTAAAGGGACTACAAATATCAGCAATACACTACATAGCAATGCAGAATACCCTCAGCTATAAAGGACTACAAATCCCAGCAATACATTATACAGCAATGCAAAATAATACCATCAGCCATAGTGGACTACAAATCCCAGCAATACATTATACAGCAAAGCAGAATAATACCGTCAGCTATAAAGGACTACAAATCCCAGCAATACATTATATAGCAATGCAGAATGACATTGGCTATAGAGGACAACAAATCCCAGCAAAATATTATACAGCAAAGCAAAATAATACCATCAGCTATAGAGGAATACAAATCTCAGCAATACATTATACACCAATGCATAATACCATCACCTCTAGAGGACTACAAAACCCAGCAATACATTATACGGCAATGCAGAATGGCATCAGCTATTGAGGACTACAGATCCCAGCAATACATTATACAGTAATGCAGAGTAATACCATCAGGTATAGAGGACTACAAATCACAGCAATACATAATACAGCAATGCAGAATAATACCATCAGCTATAGAGGACTACAAATCCCAGCAATACATTATATAGCAATGCAGAATAAAGTGCAGACATACGAGTCCAAAACAGTCCAAGACAGCTTCATAAAATCGTCTCACACAAATTCCTGAACCAGGCACATATATTCTCATAACAATGGGACAGCAGTTAGACAAACCACAAGAAGGTGACTTAGCGTGCGACTTGGTGTAAGACCGAGCAGGGAGGGATGCAGTCAGAAAGGGGAAGAAGTTGTCAAAGATATGTGACGTCCACCATGCACCTGGGTGGCCGACTGCAGCCAGAAGAATGGCGTCTTTCGTTAAAAAGAACGAAAGGGCTTTTGCCTGACCACGGATTGTTAGCCACAGCAGAAGCCTGGTACAATGTGGCAAGAGCTATTCATGGAGAGGGGTGGGTAGAGCACGAGACAAATCAACATGGATACATTGCATATGTATATCACAAACTCACAAACCAGAGACCATACCATGACCTGAATCAGACGATTCAGGTCATGGTCTGACCTGAATTAGACGAAGTGCCATTGCCCTGTTATGGCTTGGTGGTTACTGATGTCCCAGGAAACAGGAATGAGTTGGCCAGATAGTCTGCCCATTGCTCTATTCAGTGTCAGGTACACTCCAAGGGGAAGTCATGGTTTATCACCCTATGAGATACTGTTTGGTTCAGCCCCCAGATTGGGCTGTTATTTCCCACAACAGTTACAGCTCCAGTCTGATGTTTAACTGATTATGTGACTGCTCTGTCTCGTGATGATCACTCAGCGTGTGAAAGATGGAAGGTAGAATACCCTATTGTAACCAGGGCACCCAAGCCAGGAGAAAGCATCACTATATATCCTGGGAATTACACTTGTTACACTTGTTATGTAGGGGAGGGAAGGCAGCTGGGTAACTTCTCAGAAGGATATTGTGCCTCTTATAGCAGTGTCCCGTCCAACTTAGTGCAAAATCAAACTCAATCCTTAGGAGATGTGTATTGGCTGTGTGGAGACATGCGTATAAGAACCAGGTTAGGAGGGCAGTGGAAGGGGGAGTGTGCTCTTGCAAAGGCTATCATTCCTCTCCACATCTTAACAGAGAGGGCCTCTAACGCACGCCCTGCTCCAGTGTCTAGTGGCAGGAGGAAAACGGGAAGCCCCTCAAGGAAGCTTTGAGCCTCATGTGTATATAGATGCCATTGAAGTCCCAAGGGGGGTCCCTGATGAGTTCAAAGCCAGAGACCAAGTAAAACCCGATTTTGAGTCCCTAATACCAATAATCCCTATTAATAAGAACGTAGATTGGATAAAAGACCAGCACCTGCTGCACATACATCCCAGACAATAATGGCCCAAATGGTAAAGTTACCCTAGCCATTAAGAAACTAGAAAGTCTGTCAGTGGAACTAAAGAAGAATTCAGGTATCACAGATCCGTGGGACCAATATTTAAATTGGATGACAGGTTGGCAGAAAGCATTGGCCCAAGTTGGTGTGGCGATTCTCATTGTTCTGACCTTCATCAGCCTAGTAGTTTGCTGTGTAATCCCCTATGCCAGAAAGCTGATGACCAAGGTGGTTGATGAGACTACTTTGACCCCAACTATGATTCAGGTAGAAGAGGACACCTACCTGAATGAAGACGAGAAACCATAGTCCCCATTACAATCTGTGTCTCCCCAAATATAATACCACAAACACTCTAGATTAGTAAGAGTAGGGACAGAGACCACCTGACAGTGCATACCAACATGTCGGGACCAGAGGTGGATTAGCCCCTCGGACGGCCCCTATGCATGTTAAGAAAAGAGTTCCGGGGTGTGTGCCAGGTGATAGGTAAAGGGACAGGATAAATCATCATTTGAAATAGTCATTTTAGGGGGGACTGTAATGGAAGTGGTTAAGTACAATTATGACAAAATGCCTATCTCAATAGATCAATTGTAATATATATGTTAATTTTCTTTTTGCTTGTTTGCCTTCCTCAAAACATTCCTCAAAACCTTGCCCCCCCCAGATCCGAAGTACGCAGTAGAAATAGGAACCAAGTTGGCGCCTCCTCTTCAGACAACGAACCCAAGACGAAAGATATAAACATCTATAAACATCTTGGCAGGAAGTTATGCATAAATGGATCTAACCAATGATAAGTTAGAATATATAAACTAAAATACTTTTCTGCAATGCTACGCTCAAATATACACGTTCACCTGTTAAATAAAAACCCTGAAAAGGAGAACAATAAAGCAGAAGTGATTTTAACACCGACTGAGTTGGCGTTATTTCATTTTATCTCCGAGAGTATACTCTATTGAATCAGGCCAGGCGGCAGATATAAGTACGGAATTTTTGATCCGTTCTAAATTTGGAACCCAGTCCAAAACATACCTTCAAGCTCCCAATGTGTACAATGTACTGTACATCAGGCAATCTTTGAATGTTGTCCATGCATATTAAAATTTCTTAGATATTCTTGTGTGAGTGTATAGGGTAAGGGCTTAGCTCTGAGAGGGGCAGGGCTTTATCTTGGATTGGATAGAAGTGGAGGTCTCATGTACAGCCTGTGACTATGGTCCAAGGGATGTAAGGGGTACTTGCTAGTCTGACAGGGTGGCTCTGCATATCAGCAGATTTTTTAACACAACTTTAGCTTTCCTTTAAATATAAATAAATGTAATGGAGTGAACATTTATTGTAAAAGTGTTAGTCAAGACTTAATAAAAGATTGTACTTACTATTGTTAACAAGGTTCTCTGCCACATCATAAGTGATTTCTAAAAGTGAAAACAATGCTTAATGATTACAATTTATTCATATGAATTGGCATGTATATCAATACATATATATATTATTGCCGAAAATTTTAAAGTGATACGTTTTGGAAGGTTTTTTGCATGATGAAACATCGCTTTGTGGGACTTTGTATTTATCACTATTGGATTTTTTGCATTATTGTGTTATTATTTATTTTGTTATAAGTGGAAGTACTGTTTTTTTGTTCCCACACACCCACTAGGAAGAAGGGAATTATGGAGGGAAGGAAGGAAAGAGGAAAGGAAGGAAGGCAGGGAGGTTATGAATTTTTGATAATCTGAGCAGAAATTGTCCTACTTGCCTGTTAGTTGCAGTGAATTCTTGTCAATGCTGAATTGTGCCATGCTGGTATTTCTCATGTTTTCTGAGAATATCTTCTGAACTGATACATTTTTGTCCGTTAAACTATTAAAAGTCACCACAAATTCTGGTATCACACTTCCAGGGCTGTGGAAAAACAAGCATGGGTTTCGTAAATACACATCAAGTACACTTAGGCTCCGTTCACATATTAGAGGTTTTTTGCGTGTATTTGTACATGCGGAAACGCACTAAACATAAAAACGAATACATTCCAATGTATCTTAATCACACCTGCGTGAGGTCCACACGGTATGAAGACGCACGTCACGCAAATGCGTGCGTATGTTAAAATTTGCGCTTTTTCATGCTGTGCAGTTTTCTGCACGGAAAACACAAACGCTACGTGTGAATGGAGAATTAAAGGCTTCAGTTTTTCATCCAGGTTCTGCTGCACACTTTATCACTTTAGTTTCATTTTCATTTTTTGTAAATGATTCACTTTTTAAAATTATTTATCTTATTTTACTTTATTTTTATTAATTTTAATATTTTTTTACTTTTTTTAACTATTATTTCTTATTATTTTTTACTTATTTTAAATTTTTACTTATTATATTACTTGTTACTTTTCATTAAAAAAAATTACATTTGTTTTCACTTAACTTTATTGTTATCACACAGGAGCCTACAAGCCCCTGTGTTATAGCATTTGGAGGTGACAGCTTCTCTTTATTGAACCTGTCACCTCCAATACAGGGGTTTGAGCACAGCAGAGTGCAGCTCTCCCATCTCAGTGCTTACACGGAGCAGAGAATAGACGTTCTCCGCTCTGCTCCCTGCTCTCAATCCTGAACTTTGCCATGGTCCCTGGTCCCCCAGAAGAGCCCAAAAACCATGGTGGGGAGGGAGGCAGCCAGCAGGTAAAGAGGCAGCCTGAGGAGGAGGCGGACCATGGGGGGGGTGGCGGCTGGGGGGAAGATGGACCAGCAGGCTTATTAGGTCAGATTTACACTTGGGCGATCCATGACCGAGCGGTAATCGTGCAGGAAATTGTGCGGATTCCCATGCGGTCATGGAATCGCACACCACCGCTGATCGCACAGGCCGTTCCAATCTTTTCTAATGGCACCCCAGTTGCGCCAGGCAGATTACGTGGTTTCCTGCTGCGTATCCGCCTGTGCAATCGTGCACAATAGCGGCTGAAAAAAACGTGCGCGGGGAAAAAAGGTACATGTACCTTTTTGTCAGTGATTGCCGTGTGGATATAACCCCATTGGTAATCAATGGGGCCGCGTGGCAAGCGGTGTCTGCAAGCTTGCACACGATAGCGTGGCCCCGGGATCGTCCAAGCTTACTCACTGTATAATTAGCCTTGTTTTCCTGAAGCAGGGCTAAATGTAGAAAAGAAAAACTACCTGTCCGGCTCCCGGAACTGCACGTGTCGGGTGACAGGATTTTGAAACCCCTGCCTAGGCTCACGTGCCACCAGAGGGGCCTCTGCATGCCAAAGGCTGGCCACCACTGTCCTAGATATTAGTTTAATTTGACTGGTGGTACATCAAGCAGGGAGAGAGAGAAAGTTGCAAAGCACAGGATTGAGGATGCAAATACACCTATCTCATGCAGGAGCGGCTCTGTAAAATCTGACTGCAGTGGATTATATAGAACATAAGTAAGGTGAGTTGACTTTCTGACTTTAATACAATTGCAGTGCTTCCTATATAGCACTAATAGCTCACCGATTTATTTCTTATTGCCTGGAAATCCTCTCTAAGTACACCATGCTGTGCAGTACATTAAAGCATGACCACTCTATTTAAAGTAAATGTCCAAATAAATGTTTTATTCCCATTTGGAGGAACAGACACATGAGCCAGGCTTCAGCTACTCCCAGACCTGTGAGGATAGGCCCCTTACACCACTGGAGAAAAGTGTGTGCACATTATTCCTGTGTTTAATGTACTACTCAAATCATCAGTCACATACCGTAGACTAACAACTTGTGCCTTCTTGAACTGGCTTCTGAGCTCTGAATAATTGAAAGTCAAATCAATCTGCAATAAATACGAATGCAATCAACACCCATAGTACACCAAAAATTATAATATACAGAGCAATGTTAATATAATATAATCTGAGTTGATTCTGTTCAACACTTTTTTTAAGAATGTTTCCAGTCGTAATAATCTCTTTACATTTTCAGGTTCTTGTTTAAATATGTAGGCCTGATAGGAATACCTGTCTGCTTGTATCATTGACAATTTAAGGTATGATGTCACAGAACAGATACGCCTTACATTGCCAGATTTGATTAACGTGATAGCTACAATATGTAAGGATTTCACCATTCTGATCACATAGTTTAAAGCAAAAGCAAGAAAAATAAAAGAATACAACTGCCTGGATGCCTGTGGATTACTCTTACATGTCTACAGATATATTGATTTACATTAAATTGTAAAAACTTGTCAGCACTAATATACTGACTAAAGAGTTCTTACTAATCATTGGGTCAAGTAAAGCACTAACGCAGTCAAATATTTACACTGCAGAACCTAGTAACATGTTCGAGCAATAGACTGTACTGGTTTTGATGTTTAGCTTACGTTGCATAGAGATATTAATTATGTGCCTCCTAAATTGGCTAAAAATAGTTGAATCAAACATCTTATGTCTGTGGTACCTTCAGGCAGTGGCCATCTATCATGCCTACCATTCTGTTTGGATGTGATCAGTTGGACAGAAAACCATATCAGATTGCTATTGAAGGGTAGTTATTGCCACGGCTGTCATGCACTTTCCCACTCTTTTCCCCTCAATGACCACCACCACCCACAAAGAGCTGCACGCTAAGCTTGCCAGTGTGTGTCCTGATTTGCCCTTAATTTTCACTTATGGTTGTTGGATTGTGTTGAGAAATAAGCCTGATAAAGGCTGCGCGGCCCCAAAAGCGATTGTTTCGAGTTACAATATGCGTCGATAAATTGACTTTTTTTTTGCTTTGACACATTATCCTGCTGTGCTGGTGACATCTTTATCAATTCTGCGGTACCATCCACAGTCACTATGAGCACCAACTTTGAATGTTTGGGAGATCCGCTAAGGAGTGCAACAAGATACTTATTGATTGTAAATCTTTGACTAACCTCTTAAGTCGTGGTGCCCAACCTGCAGCCCAAGGGTCACATGAAGCCCTTTGGTGTTTGAATTGCATCTTTCAGACCCCAGCAGTCAGTACTGGAAACTGATTTGTAAAGGGGCCTTTAATAATAGTAGTCTCTAGCAGTTTCATATAACATGTCCCTAGTCTCTGGCTGTTGCCTACAACATAACTGCAGTCTCCAACCACTCATGTAGAACAGTCTTTGACCATTTTTTCTAGTAAGTCTTCAGTCTATGACCGTCTTGAGTAACATTAACTAAAATATATATTAAATTCTGCCCTTTGGAGATATCAGGGGCAGTATTTAAGGCCCCTTATACCTTGTAAGTTGATAATGATTGCTCTAAAGTCTACGGGTGAGTTCAATCTGTGAGCTGCCTAAGCAAAGGGGGAGAGGGCTTTTTCTGACTCTCAGTAGGTTCTGAAATACTAAAATATTTCATATTATATATCTGAATATGCATTTTGATATCTATCTCTTGTGACCTCAAATAAGTTAGAGCCACTTGGGATCTGTGACTATAGACTGTAGACATCTCTCTTATCCACATATACTGGCACAGGACACATTGACAAATAAATTGTGCCTTAGCAAGTATCTAAGAATGCTCATATAGATTTGTTTTAATGGTGTTTAAGCACTCCTTATGTCCCAGAAAAATGTGCTCCATTTTTTGTCATATGTAAAAGGAAAGCTTCACATTTGTATAAAGTTTAACTTATATAATATAATCTACTTACAAATCCTTCGATTTGAGAAGCCATTGAATGGTATCCAATGCTACTGCTTTTCCTATAATCCTCTGTGTAGTTTAAATTTAAAATTCTGAAAGAACCACTATAATACAGAAGGCTTGGATTCGATTTATTGTGCATTCCTATAAAAAAAAAAGAAGCAAAGTTACCTGTTAATATTATATGCCACCAAAGCCACCACCAACATAAATCCATTTGTCGGTTTCCTTGTTTATTAGTTTGGTATGTTGTGCTTGATATCAGAGATGATTGACAAGCTACACACTTGTGAATCAGCAGTGAGAATGCTGATAGTCATGTCCCTTACAACATTTTTCATCCCAATGTAGTACAGGCAGGCACAGCCTACATGTGAGTGGCAAGTGCTGAATTCAGGAGCAGTGCAGCATTGCTGTCACCCCATCACAGGAAGCTACATTAGGTGGAATTTACTGGGAGGGTCAACAAGTTTTTGTGGACTTTGCAGGGGGACTAAGAGAAAATGTAAGTACATTAATAATTAAGTGGTAAAATACATATTTTTAATGAAAGGCCATAGTTCTATATTAAAAGCTGCTGAACTGGGGAAGTGCAATGCCAGATGGATGAAAGAAAACCAAAACTTTACTATGTTGCTGATACTCCCTCATTCTGTCATCTACTAGTATGCACAGTTAGGTGCCTCCTGCAATGTTCAACTGTGGCTTTTTCACCCAAGTAGTAATTCATGAACACAATGGGGAACATTTATCAAGCATATTAGCGACACAATTGGCCACAAACAATGCTGCATTTCGTTCAGCAAAGTTCCTGCGACAGGCTTACAGTGTATATGCCTCCTGTGCGTCGGTATTTCTGGGCAGCCAACTGTGACAGTTTGCAAAGTCCTGAGATTTACTACTGATGTACTGATGATGCAACAGATTTTCACTGTAAACAGACGCATAATTAAGAAGTGGTTGGGGGCAGGTTTTGTTCTGTTGCAGTAATGCTTTAAAGCAGCTACAGGAGGGATTTGTGACTAAAACTTTAATCTTGTAATAATGATCGGTATCGCTGTTCCTGTTTAGAATTGCCTTGCTGTACAACAGAATTAGGAAATGTTCCCCAATGAACTCCTGACCGAAGGCCTGTTTACCAAAACATGTCAGAAAGGACTCTGCAAATCACTTGTTAGCTTGTAGTGAATAAACTCAAAGGGGGTGATTTACTAACCTAAACACACGCACGCACCAGGTGCGTGTGATTTTCACACAGCAAAATGTATTTATCAACCAAAAAGTCTCTAAAAGCATATTTCCACTAATGCCATATATGGAAAAATCATGCACAAAGTGTTTAGATTCCACCCATAGATCATGCTGGGAGGGAACACACTACAGAGGGGCATACATGTTCGTGGTGTGTTTATAAGGTTAGTAAATAAACCCCAAAGTGTCATTGGTAAGAGCTTTTATGTTGTCCCATTGCAAAAAATGAAACATACAGCGACAGATGACAGCTGGAGCCTGGAGTAGAATGTTTTTGTCCCAGTTGATTG